ATAACTTACTTACAATAATTTATTATAACTTACATATAATAATTTATAACTCGTTAGTTATTATAATTAAATTGTATCAAATAATTTATAACTCATTAATTATTACGACTAATTTATAATTTGATAATTACTATGACAGAGTAATTGAGCGAAATTAATAATTGATTGTTAATAATTAACAATTATAACTCGTTGGTGCTTGTAACAAATTTATAATAATTAGTTACATCTAATCTATAGTAATTCATAACAATAAAATTCATAATGCATAACAATATGCTATAACTCATTTATTTACTTATTTATTTTCTGCGGGAAATAAAACCTATTAATTAATTCATAACAATTTACTGTATTAAACAACGAATGACGTGAACAACAGATACAAAGTATTAGTATCCTTGAAGAAAGTTTGAAGGCGCCACATTCGACCGAATTTCCAATTAGCGTAGCTCCGTGAACAATGTAACGGTTGCTGATTGTAAATCCTCTCCATTATTATTTGTAACCAAAATCAATTTCCATCATTTATAATGCTTATCGGTAACCAAGACGCATAAAATATTATTGGGTTGGCAACTAAGTAATTGCCGATTTCAGTTATAGATGTTTCTCACTCCCATTTTTATGATATCCGTAAATGTTATATTATAAAATTATTATTATTATTATTATGTTATTTTTTATTATCCGTGAATGTCAGCAACTGAACAAATTGAATGTAGCGGTCAAGGAAAAGCGACCAGAATTGATCAATTGTAAAGGTGTCATTTTCCAGCAGGACAATGCTAAACCGCACACGTCTTTGTCCACTCGGCAAAAATTGACGGATATTGGTTGGGAATTGATGTTACACCCACCATATAGTCCTGATCTCGCGCCATCGGATTACCACTTATTTCGATCCCTGGACAACTCTCTTCGTGGTAAAACTTTTAACGATGATGACGCTGTAAAATCTCACTTAACTCAGTTTTTGGCCGAAAAGGATCAGACTTTCTACGAGCGTGGAATTTTCAAGTTGTCAAAGAGATGGCGAAAGGTCATCGAACGAAATGGAAAATACATTACAGATTAAACTTCATTCCAAGTAAAAAAAAATTTTTTATTTCATTTAACAAATCGGCAATTACTTAGTTGCCAACCGAATACATTTTTCTAATCGTTACGTCTCCGATAATTTCCTTCAAACGATGACTACTCTTTATCTGAATAAATATCGATCCTTCATCGATGATCTCTTCCTCAGAAATTGTTGACATAACTGTCACTTTTGGTAGGAAACGTTACTTTTTCGATTAGAACTGTTGACCGTAGCGAGGAAACGCACGAAATCCCGTCACCTGCCACGGCACCACCCACGCGGCACGCGTGACGCCCGTACGGTTACGCTCGTTCTCATAATCGAGCCGTGAGAACCGGCCGAGCTATCGATGATAGAAAGTTATCTGCGTAAGGGGTCCGACCCGATATTATCGGTCCTGTATCTCTTTTATTGGCATGTGGGTCATCAGGAAGGCACGCGTCCCGCGAACCGATACGTGACGATAGCTCGCGCGGCCCGACAAAACGGTGAACCGTCGGTGCTGTTCGCACGGGGCTCATCGGGACGCTCTCCGGAAAAGCAACTAATGACCAGCAATATCCGCGCGTCATTAGCCACGCTCTGCCGGTGGCGTAAATCATCCGGAGCCGCCCGCGCCGCGACTTTTATCTTACAACGAAGGAACATTGTAAATCACCTGTCGCCGGCATCCGCGACCCTCGACGCAATCGTTCACGTGATTTCGAGCGGCTTGCCTAATAACCGGACCGATCGATAGAAAGTAAAATGATAGAAAGAGGGTGCATCCGGGCATCGAGCGCGTCCTTAAAGCGCTCGGAAAGAATTTGACCTTGCGCAACGAAAAGATCTGCTGTTCGTAGTTGTGGTACAAGTATCCGTGGTTCGCGACGAAAAAATGGCGTACTTTAAAATCCACGTGATTTTTGTTCATTTAACATTGCAACCGAGGTTTAGGAACCTGGAAAATACCGTTGTAGGGTAGAAGAGCCAATTACTGTGTTCTGGTAGCACGCTATGTGCGGGAGAAGTATTGATACTATTTCGAAACATCTTTTGAAATCTTAAAAAGTCTCGTTATATACTTGTTATCGAAATCTTAACGTCAGTTTTGTAAATATTCAATGTTATTCAAGACGCGGATTTTTTCAAAATTCACTGATTTTCTCTCTGTTGGACGTGAGTAAGACTCGATCTATGAGGTGCAGAAAGTGTGTTAGCAGTCTTCAGGAATTTTCGCTATTAAACACAACTTTAGCAATTTAAATAACATTTCTTTGTACATTTCGAAGTTTCCTTTATCGATGTCAATTCTCCCGTGACACAAGTGTCAAATCTCATTTGAATATTATGAGAAAGAAAAGAAAGATCTGGAGCCAGTTACTGTGTGTCTATGATCTACAAAAAATTAGTTACTGTGCTCTCTCTCTGAATACTGAGTCTCAGTAACTGTGCACAATAAAAATTTAATATTTAGCACACCTTACTAAATTTTATTTATAAATTTTATTCATATAAATATAATTTAAAATATAATATAAAATATAATATAAAATATATAAATTTTATTTTCTATAAAAAAATGTAATATCGTAATAAAAGTGATTTAAATTTTATATTTTGTTAACAACTGTAATACAATAATAAATCATTTAAAAGATCACGTTGGAGATGACTGTTTCAACAAAATTATAATTACAATAAATATAAAATATAATTCAAATGAATTTTTATTGCAAATTTGAATTACAATAAATTCTAATAGAAATTTAATCGGACATTTTAAATTATTCTACGATCTCAAGAATGGCCTGGACTTTTATGATAAAGTATTATAATTGATTTTTAATAATTTAATTAGACTTTTTAAATTATATTGCGATCTTAAGAATGGCCAAACTAATTATTCTACTCTCTTTTATGTGCCGTTGATGTTTTCGTGTCAGGATCTTTTATACGTATATTCCGGCACGTCTGCTTTAAATTTCGCTTTGGCGCTACAGACCCAGTAGTCGAATGATTGACGTATTGGCGTTTCTTTAGTTATATTTCGCAGATCTATTTCAAGGACATTGTACTTTCGGCACTTGCTCATTAATGAATGTAAACTGAGAACTATTTCCCGTTTACGAATAAATAAACTATCATTAAGTAATAACAAATAAACTATCATGAAGCTGCAAATTAGTATATAAGTATTGTTGTTATCAAATTAATGTTCCAATTAGGCTGCGGATTTTCATGTAAAATAATAAGTTGCACAAATTAGAAAGACATAATTTCTCCTAATTCCTTCACGGTTTTTGCCCAGTCATTTTAGTCGAAAATGCATAAAAAATGCACCGTTCGATTATATTAATTATAGGAAATATTGAAGGATCAATTGACGCAAAGCGATTAAACTTCGAAAACAATTTTAAATATTAATTTTCAGAGACGATTTAGTAAAGATAAATAAAAATTTATTTAGTAAAACTGTCAATTTAAAATTGTTGGATCTGTCTTTCCCTTTTCATGGCTCTCTCGCACCGTACACCGTAAATTCGGTTCAATTGCACCGTAACAAAAGCTGCGAACAAAAATAAGAATTAGCAAGAGGCGCTCGTCCCTCGAAGCACGGTACCCGCAGCAATTTGAGCATGCCGCTGCGAAACGCTGTCATCTTGAGGCGACCTCTCCCAGAATGCTTTCTCGGGGCAGTTCCGCGCAGACGTCCATTTTTTACAAACCCACACGTTCGTTCTGATAAAGGGAGCTGCGCCAACAAGCAGGTGCCCGGGCCCCGGGAACTTAACGAATGAATTTGACCAGAGCTGGATCGCGGCGTATGTCTGTCAGCCGAGGGTTAATGAAATTGGGCTCGTCTCTGCCGTGCCAGAAGCTGCGATGCTGTTTACGGTTCGAGAGTGCCGTTTATTGTAACAAACAACAATATTTCCACAGTCTCAACAATGTACAGCAAAATCCGCGCGCGTGGACAAATGTATTTACAAAACTGGCGATACAGCGATTTCGCCCCAATTCGCGCTCGGATTGCGCACAAAAGTGGACAATTTGGGAAGCGGAGATACGATTATTCGAGCCTTGCATTTCGTTTTTATACTTTTATATTATTTTATATATAATATAAATATATATATATATTATTATATATTATTATATTATATATATATTATTATACGATATATATGAAAAATAACATATAAAAATACAATATATATTGTGTTATATATATAGTAAAAATAAATAAATAAATAAATGTACATATATTATTATTATTGTTATATATACATTTTTATATATTTATTTATTATTATTATTATATATAAATTTTTATATATATATATATATTATTATATATTATTATATTATTATTATATATTATATATATTATATTATATATATATAATATAATATACTATATTTTATACTTTTTATACTTTTTATTTATATTCAACAACTATGAAAACGTGATGCAAGGCTCGAATAATCGTATCTCCGCTTCCCAAATTGTCCATTTTTTCTGCGCAATCTGAGCGCGAATTAGGAAGACATTACTGTTCATAGGAATACAGTAAAGTCTCCCTAATCGACGCTCAGTTTGTACACAAGAATGAACAAATATGGGAAGAGGTGATACGATTGTTCTAGTCTCGCGGCTCGTTTTCACAATGCTCAACAATTATAAATTGTCGACAACTATAAAAGGCTCGAACGATCGCATCTCCTCTTCCTAAATCGTCAATTTTTTAGCGCAATCCGAGCGCGAATTAGGGAGAAATTACTGCGGTTCGGCGGGCCGTGTCGCTGAACGACCGCGAAGCGTCGACCGTCGCACAGCGGCGAAGATTGTTTAACCGTTTAAACGCTCGCGAGATGTTGTTTCTGTCGAAAAGTTCTTCCGTCCTTCTCCTGTCGATAGTTGCGAGCGTGTCCGTATAGAAAACTCGAGCCAATTCCACTTTCGTAACTCCGTTTCGAAGCGGAAAAGTGGATAGAAGCTTGGCAACACTGTGGACGGCCATTTTGTGTCGGCTACGCCATCTTACGTTCGATCCAATTTGCCGAGACGTCGGAACTTTCCGGCGCTGTTCGCTGTTCTGACGAGAACACGTCCCCGTCAGTGTTCAACAATCGTTACAGATTTGTTATTTTCATGACAAATAATATTAACAACCGTAACTATGGTACAACAATCGCAAATATAATTATTATCAACAACGCTCGCGATTCGTAACGCAAAAACTGCGAGCCTTTCTCAGCTTGCGGTTGATTAGCGCGTTCAGCGCCGACAATCGACCGCTAAAATTCCTTCAAAATCAAAGCAATTTGATTAATTAAACCGAAACTTGAAAGTTAAAATTGATCACAAATTCAGTTCACAAATCCTAGTCAAACTCAGCTTGTTCGAACATAATTACGACGAAAATGAACTTTCGATGTTGCTCAAAAATTAATGTTACCGATCATGATCTGACCGATGCGGCACTGAACGTGCTAACAAATGCGAGGCTTTATGAACAGCAAAACAATCATCGATGATAATTGATCCGTGGGGAAGATGGTATCAGTTGGAACAAAGTTAACGGGATTTATGGTCACTTTTACTCTCTCCGACGTCGCCACTGCTGTGCGACCTGCTCTTCTTGGCCTCCTGGCTGCCCTTCTCCCCATGGACGACCTTGTGACTGTGGTGACCGTCCTGACCCTCGGATTCCTTGTGACCCTTCTTCAAATTGTACTCCTTACCCTTCTCGAACTTCGTCTCCTTACCGTGCGCCTCCTTCTCGTCCTTCATATCGTGGTGGCTAATCTTATGGCTGCCGCCCTTCTTCGTTTCGTGATCATGGTGGGACTCGCCCTCCTTCTCCGTCTCGCCGTCTTCGTTGAAATCGTCGAAGAACTCGGTGTACTTCTCGAACTCGTCCTGGAACAGAAGTCGCAGCTCAAACATAATTCCGCGAGCGTTTTATTTCGAACCAGCTTCGTTTTCCAATTTTTCCAGAAGCTGTTAAAACTTCGATGTTTTTCGTTTAGAAATTTGAGAAACTTTAGATTATCCTCGCTTTAGAATCATATTTCGAGAGACTGAAAATCCTGTTGAACCTGTGTAATTTCGTTTTAATACTCGACGATGCAATTTCTTTTTACACGTAGAATAGAAAGCGTGTTAAAATGTTTTGAGGAATTTGTAAGGTAAGCGTTCCGGTGATTAAGGAAAGAATTTCTGTTATAAGGCAGTAGAAAGCGCATTTTTATGCAAAATAAAAATATTCTAACACGGTTGTGAGATATATAAGTTGAATAAAAATGAATTGTTTCCTTTCATTAATTTTGTTAAGTCGAGAACAGTGTAGCAATGCGGTAATTTCTCCCTAATTCGCGCTCGGATTGCGCTAAAAAATTGACAATTTAGGAAGAGGAGATACAATTATTCGGGCCTTGTGTCTCGTTTTTATAGTTATTGACAATGGGTAACTATAAAAACGAGCCGCAATAATCGTATCTCCTCTTCGCAAATTGTCCATTTTTGTGCGCAATCTGAGCGCGAATTAGAGAGAATTTACTGTATTATTAAATTCTTCATATGTCTCCTCACAAAACGTTATATTTCAGCTAAACATTTTTGTCATATATGTATAAAATTCGCAGTTTGCTTATGTGACTAATAAAAGTCACATTTGAATGCGGATAAGTTCCTCGGAAAAAGTAGATCGTCTATTTTTCAAATGCATGTCAAAAGATCATCTTTTCATCACTAGGACATTTGCTTTACACTGTCATTGGAGTTGACTAAATTAAAAAATATATTTTTTCGTTGGAAAAAGACGGAGACATGAAATATATTAAAATTCCTTGTTTCGACTTTGGAAAACTATTTACGAATGAAACAACAGACTAAATTCATCGGGGCAAATTGGTTCATTAAAAACCCACCTTCTTATGTACAGTATGTTGTCCCTTTGTGCTGTAACCCTTTTGGTGGTCGCCCTTTTCATCGTACTCGGAGCCCTTCTCCCCTTTCTCGCCGCGTTGATGCTCCTGGTGATATCCACCCTCGTCATCATGTTTCTTTTCCTTGCCTTCCTTCTCGTCGAAATAACTGCTCTTCTTCTCCTTGTCGTGATGGCCTTTATTGGCTTTCTCGTGCTCGTGTCTGCTCTTGTAGCCCTTCGAAAAAACAGACGAAAACAATTTATTAATTTGTGCATCACTTTATTGCTATCGAGCAGCGAAGCAATTCGCGAAGCCTTCGAAAACCTTCGTTCTACGCAATCCAATTAACCATGCCACTAATCTCTTTGATAACATGTAGAAACCTCGAGTATCGTGTTCTACAAATCTTTACCAAACCGTATTGTTTAATACACAAATTATTAAACGTCAAACCCGTGTATAAATTATCAAGTTGTCTCGAGCAACATGATCGACGAACGTCTATCGAAACCATTATTTAAACCTCGAACGTCGGACCATTTTCACAACTCTTTTATTGACGATTTTTATAACAATTCTGAGCATTATTCAACAATTTTTTTAAACTGATCTTTGAAGGTGTTTCTTGCAGACTTATTAGCCTTTCTGTTGTTCCCAATGTAACAGCAATTTATTTCATTTTATTGCTGAAAATTGAATAATTCAGTAAACGATTTGAATACCCTACAAAAGTACAATTATTTTAGATACAGGTATGAACAAATAAATGCGGATTAAACAATGCATTTTTTTTGTGTCACGATAACTCATAATTTTTCCGACAAAAAAAATACTCTTTCACGATTATTAATATAATTATAAAAATAATTATGAAATAGATTAATTTATATGTATATGCCTGTAGAAAATTTTGTCTAAATTGGTTAACTTTGCTATAAGCTACACAAACAATTAGTATTTTCGATTTATATATTATATAACTCATACTTTCGAAACATGATTTTTTTTATTGTTTTTTTTATTCCATCCAATTTCTATTTTAGCAAAAATTTGTTCACACATTATTTTGCAAATTAAACCTTCTGTCAGCTCAAAAAAATTCAACACGTTCGGTGCAATTTTCAAAAATTAATTCCGTTTTAAAAGATATGTCCACGTACACTTACCGACAAGAGTTAAGAAACATGTTGCACAGATTCTTATTCTTATTCTTGGGTATACATAGTAAACCTCCTTGACATAGAATAAAAATTAGTATTATGTCAATGAAAATAATAAACAAAGCAGCACTGCAATATAAACGATGTGTTACATGCTTCGCTATAATATGTATTTTTAATTGAATAAAACGTTGGGTAGTGGAGCCAGTTACTGTGGGATGACTAATTGCTGTGCTTTTGATATATTTTCGAGCAAAATTAATTTTATATTTTTCGAATAAAACATATTCAATTCTTTCATTCAAAAATAAACAAAATAAAAGAATACAAAAATTCAATCACCCAACAAATCAACAGAATAACAAAATAAACAATTTAATGTCTTAACAAATAACCCAAATAAAAGAATAGAAAATTTTAATATGTCTCAAGAAACAAACGAAATGAAAGAATAAAAAAATTTAATATGTCTTAAAAAACAAATAAAATGAAAAAATAAAAAAATTGAATATATCCTCAAGAAACAAATAAAATGAAAGAATAAAAAGATTGAATACATCTTGTTCGTTAAAAATATGATATTAATTATGCCTGAAAACAGCCCAAAGGCGCAGCAATTGTCGTCTAACAAAATATTGAAATGTGCTAAAATGTTAATTATATCTATTGTATAAAGAGTCTTAACTTTCGCCGGCGAGTGTACGTCAACCAAGGCGAATCCTAGGAATTCCTCGAATTCCTGGCCAGCACAATTAACAAAATGGCATCATTTGTCGTCGCGCTGAATGAAATTAGAATTCTACCTTCTTCCCCTTCTCCCCCTTCTCATCCTTATGCCCTTCCGATCGTTCCTCGTCCCCGCCCATCTCGACCTCGCCATTGCCTCCACTTCCGGTGGCAGCTGCGTCACCACCGTGCCCTGCACTCCCCTTATCACCCTGATGACGTTGATCCTTGTGCAAAGACACGTGGGTGCTCTCGGCCTCAATATCACCTTCCCCTTCATCACTGCGGCCCAGCTCGGTGCTGGCATCTGAACTTGCCTCGCGACTATCCTCTCTGCTCCCATCATCCGACCGCGTCTGATAATGATCCTCTTTTTCCATCTTGCTCGCCGCCTCGCCCGAGTCCTCATCGGCGACGCCGGTGGCATCGGCAACGCCATCGACCTCTCGATCACCAGCAACATCTCTCTCCTTCAAGTTGCTCTTCCAAGGACTAGCTGAGCTGACTTCGTAGTCCCTAACCGAGGCTGTCGTCGACGTTGGCTGGTAATAATACCCTGGATTGCTATAATAAGTACTCAGCGATGTGAAGGGGACAGCAGTTGAAGAAAGGCCGCCGGAGGACACAGTGACGTCGGGAGTCTGGGCGTTCTGGTAGCCGTCTAGACTCGTTGGAGCCACCGACAGTGTCCTGGTAGCTTCCTCAGGGCCATAATTGGTCTGAAGAGGTCTAACATTCGCATCTTCTCTAGCAACAGGCTTCTCAGTTGTGTAGGGAACAGGCGTGGTAACCTTGAAGCTCTCGGACTCCTTCGATCTTTCGGTAGCAGCCTCGTCGTTCCTGATCACCTGAACGCTGGGACGCTGTCTTCTGCTCTTCCTCTCGTACAGTCTCCTATTCGAGGGAGGTCCAGCACCCTTGGCAGCCTCGGCTACCTCGGAGTGGCTGTTAGGCTCTCCAACATTGCCTCTCAAAGCGTTCCACTGATTTCGACTGTTAGCCCGCCTTGTCAAGGTCGCGCCCTGATCCGCCAACTTCTCTAAACTGCCTTCCTGGTTTAGTCTAACTAACGGCGACCTGGCAAACGACCTTGGCGCAATGTCCGGCTTAGCTACCGGCCTTCTAGCCTTGCGTTCGTCCTCGCTGTGAATCGCGCTGCGCGCCCTCGACGCGTCAATGACGGGGTAATTGTTGCCGTCGTTGCTCTTGGAAGCATCTTGGTGGCTCGGAGCTTTCTCCACACGTTTGCGGGCTCTTCCTCGCCGCGTTGATATGGTGGAAAGTGCTTCGACGATTGTGGGAGTGGTGCGAACTGGAGATGGAGTCGAAGGTCTTAGCGATTCTGACGAAAATGGTCTACGATGGCTTGCGAGCTTTGGAAATATCGAGGCCTTCGGTTTCGGGTCTTCCGATGGCGCCGAGGAGACTGGATACTGCAGCTTGGGGAACCTCTGCTTCGCCTGTCTGACCGACGCCACTGGGTAGACGTACTCGAAGTCGCTGGCGTTCTGCTTGTGGAGGCTCTCGAAGCTGGATTTTTGGGGATAGAGTGGCGTCACTACGGATTTCTTGATTTGGGGGATTTCGTAGTAGAGGAGATCGATCTCCGGAGCTGTTGCGATCGTTGTGTGACTGTTCAAGGCTCGAGAGTCTGGAAACATCGAGGTGTTACTAGCGAGCAGAGTTAGACATTATTCGAATTGTTTCGAGTAAATATTCATCGATAATAGTTATTCTAATGAATCTTTTTTAGTCGAATATTTTATTCGAGTAAACTCTTTTCACTCGAATATTTGATTCGAACAACAATTATTCATTATTCGTAAGAAAATAATACTATCTGGTTATTCGAGTAATTCTTCATTTTTTTATTCGAATAGTTCTTCATTTTTTAATCGAATAATTCTTCACTCTTTATTCGAATAATTCTTTAGTTTTTATTCGAGTAGTTCTTCATTTTTTATTCGAATAGTTCGTCATTTTTTAATCGAATAATTCTTTGTTATTTATTCGAATAATTGTTCATTCTTTATTCCAAGAAATTATTCGAACAGAGATTGTAAAATTATTTGAATAATAATGCCAATAATTGTTGACCGTTTCTTTTTCACGCGAATAAAAGTTATTTAGTTATGCGTCAATGATCGATCTACCCAAAAGTAACAAACTTTTCGATATAACAGTTGAGAGAAAAGTATATTATAAAGATTAACATGGAAGAAATGAATCAATAAAAAACTGTGGAACACCCCTATATTCTATAATTTGTACTCGAATCGAATTAATTGCTAATCAATTCTTATTCAAGTAACAAATAACTTCTTACTCGAATGACAAATAACATCTTATCCGAATAATAAATAACTTCTTACTCGAATAATCTTCTTATATTCGAATAATAAATAACTTCTTATCCGAATTAATTTATGTCCGGATCTTTTAAAGTTCGAATAAATTGTTATCTAGGTACAGTAAATTCTCTCCAATTGTCTCTCAGCTTGTTAACAGGAATGAATAATTTAGGAAAAGGAGACACGATCATTCGAGCCTCGCAGCTCGTTTTTATAGTTGTTGACAATCGGCAACAATAAAAACGTTCCGAGAGGCTTGAATAATCGTAT